CACACACACTCACACACACACACTCACACACACACACACACACACACACACATACACACATACATGCACACACACAATGCAGAGTTATATACTCTGAACTTATATATTATCTATTATATTTCTACATATCTCTATGATTCTTTATCTATAATTTACCTATAATTTTATGTGTATGTGCATGCATGTGTGTGTGTGTGTGTGTGTGTAAATATGATTCTCAGTATTCTCCCATGTATGGGTCTGAGAAACCTTCCTCATGAGCACATCAATTTTAACAACTTCTGGGCTTATTTGAATGCTGCCCTAAGAGTGCATTCTCCTTGCAATCCCTGTCCTGCCCCTGTCCCTCCTCCTGATAAAAGGCTGAACTACAGAGAATTGCATCCCTAAATTGAAGCTTTTCATTTGCAGTTTGGCAGTAGGCAGGAGCAGCCTTCAAGCTGACCGCTTGGCCTGCTCTGCTCCTCATATTAACCCATTGTCAATTTGGGACATGTTCTCCCCCATAGAGAGGCCATGGAGCACTTCCTGGAGGCCCTGAACATGCAGGCAGCTGGTCGAGGGCCCGGAGGGGAGGGCTCCACGCGAGCTGTGTCTGACAATATCTGGTCCACCCTGAGGGTCTGTCTGTCGTCCCTAGGAGCAACACACCTCATGGATGCTGTTAGTAAGAGGTGAGTATTTGTTAACCCATTGCCGTCGGGGAAAATGAACAAAAAATGGGGAAAATACTGTACTCATTATTTATATTTTTGTGAAATATCTCTGTCCATAGATGGCTCTGCTAGTCCTGATTTCACCTTTCCTTAAGTTGGCGGGAAAAAACGTATTCTTACTAGTGCTATAAATATAGATGGTGTTATTTTTAACAGCAAATTAGGATAACATTAAATATTTTCGTAAATCGATGAAAAGGGTGAATGGGCGAGACAGGGAGTACTCGAATTGGCTCACTGGTGACTTAGTTCAAGTGTAGCCATCTATGTGTAAAAACAATCGAACAAGTCGACTCAAAGTGGGCATGGCATGTACGTACATGCCATCCCCGGCGGCAATGGGTTAAGATATTCTAGTGCATTAACCCAAGTCTGATGTCATGGTATTTATGTACTTGCCATGCCCACTGTGAGTTTACTTTATTAATTGTTTTTACATATAGATGGCTACACTTGTACTAAGTCTCCAGTGAGCCAGTTACGAGTACTGCTGGTCTCACTTGCTTATCCTTTTCCTTGACTTTCTAAAATATTTTACATTATCTTATATTGCTTTTACTAATGTCTATAACATTATAGTTATTATGATATTTATAATAAATTCATAGTAGTAGTAAAAAAGAAAGAAATGTTTGTCCTGCCAATTCAAGGAAAGGTGAAATCACAAGGTCTACTAATGTGTGCACAGATAAAATTAAAAATCAAAATGAGCACAACACATCCCCAGCGCCATTGAGTTAACTGGACTTATTATGTATAGTGTGCAAAACATTATTGGAATATAACGTGAAAACTTAAAAAAACAAAGTTCAACTACAAGTGGTATCTGTTTCATAGTTCCTCAAAGGGGATATTAGATGGTTTAATAGGCATAAATATTGTATAAGGAGTTGCCAGATATATATATATATATATATATATATATATATATATATATATATATATATATATATATATATATATATATATATATATATATATATATATATATATATATATATATATATATATATATATATATATATATATATATGTATATATATATATATATATATATATGTATATATATATATATATATATATATATATATATATATATATATATATATATGTATATATATATATATATATATATATATATATATATATATATATATATATATATATATATATACATATATATATATATACATATATATATATATATACATATATATATATATACATATATATATATATATACATATATATATATATACATATATATATATATATATATATATATATATATATATATATATATATATATATATATATATATATATATATATATATATATATATATATATATATATATATATATATATATATATATATATATATATATATATATATATATATATATATATATATATATATATATATATATATATATATATATATATATATATATATATATATATATATATATATATATATATATATATATATATATATATATATGTATATTATATATATCTATATATATATATATTTATATATATATTAATGGTTAATTTACAATTTTTTTTTTTTTTGTAATTGTTCATTTATTATCATTATATTGCTTTATTATTATCATTTTTGTAGTTTTACTGTTAACCCCTTGGTGCCGGGTGACGCCGATCGGCGTGTACACAAAGAGCTCAAAAGCTGGCGTGCAGCCGAACAAGCCGGCGGCGCGCCAAAGCGCGGCGAGCCAGTGATTCGGGCTGATGTCCCCTACTCACCGCCTTTGTTTGTTTAAGCGTAGAGTTTTTTTTTTCTTTTGTACACCCGGCGCCATTGGGTTAATTGTCATCATTTTGATAATTACAGGTATCATTACATAACTTGATATATAGTGATGTATGACAAATGTTTCTCTCTTTTCCCCACAGAGACTTAACTCGACTGAATGCCGAATACAACATGGGCACATCGAGCTGACTCTCCTCCCCTCACTCCCAGCCCCTCCCCTCCCTCCCACCTTCCACCACCAGCATCCGCAAAGCCTTCCCACCGCTGCTTACCCCCACCACTACCACCTCTGCCTCCCATCCCCTCAGGACAATAGAGTCGTGCCTGTGTAGCGTCCACGATGGTTTGCCCTGTGAGTGCCTTCACCCACCCAGGCTCGTGTCAATGGTGCCTCACACGGGACAGACGACGAGAAAGCTAATGCCAAGTCATTAACTCTCTCGGCAGCTGTTGTCCTTTTCATGGTTGTGAGAGCTCTTTCACTCAACCCGTTGGCTGGCTGAGTGGGTCTCAGCACAGAGAAGGAGATCCGGAGATCTTCAGACATGAGAGAGAGAGTGAGTGAGTGAGTGAGTGAGTGAGTGAGTGAGTGAGTGAGTTTACAAGGGAGAGGGAATAGGAAATGGACAGAATTAATAGTCTGGTATGTATTTTCTTGAAGTTGTTTCTCCTTGTCAGTGTATATCCATATTTAGTATTTTGCCCCTTTTTTGTTTATGATTTTTTATAGTAAGATGGTGTGTGTGTGTATATATATATATATATATATATATATATATATATATATATATATATATATATATACATTAATATATTTATATATATATGTGTGTGTGTATATACATATATACGTATATATAACGTATGTACGTATTTTACGTATGTATGTATATAATACCCATCTGCCTATACACATACATGCAGAGTTGGGCTAGCTGTGTTTTTAGAGTGCCAGAGGTAGTAGAACTGTTACCACATATCTGAAGCACTACCTTGGTGGTAGCATTGCTGTTACCTTATTTTTATGAAAGGGATTGAGTAGTTGCATACTGCCATGATGTATAATCTGTAACACATTTTGTGATATTTTGTTACCATATATCAATGTTTTATTTTTTTTCAGTTTGGATTATTTAGTGAACTCACACAAATAGGGCAAAACAAAGAAAAGAAAGTCACAAGGTAATACTAGGGGCTGAGACTGATCATCATCATAAGGTTTTATTCTTGCGAGAGCCAATCAGGTTGAAGCGGTACACAGAAGTAGACCACCAGTCAGTGTGACTTATATGTTAAGTAGTCACATCTGTCAATCTTTGTTTTTATGTGTTATGTATTATATATATATATATATATATATATATATATATATATATATATATATATATATATATATATATACTTATAAATATCTATAAATTGTACCCCACATCAAATTAAGCTCATAGCAAGGAAGAAAGGTGGTCAGTCCCCAGGATGGCCCTAGCATGAGCCACCAATGGGGCTCTTTCTAGAACTTACACTTAATAATTCCTTAATGAGGGAAGGTAGTAATTTTTTTTAAGCCACAGTTACTAATTATTTGAGTTGTTTGTCACAAACCAAGGAGTCTGAGGAATCTAAGCACAAAGAGATATTTTCACAAGGAATCATTATCATGTTATACAATTTTTCAGTTGTAAAAGTACATATACTTTGGCTCCTGGGATATCATTTGAAAACAGTAAAGGAGTCCTTAAGAATAAAGGATTGTGTGACGGAAAATGATACTATCACGGAAGACTTATTTTCAAAACAAAACAGAGAAGGCAAGATATCACATTTTGCAGAATGAAGTCTCAGAAAACCGTTCAAAGGACCCAATAGACGGGAAAAATCCAGACACACATGGCCTGCTAGTAGAGAATGCGAAGGTACTTGGACACAGGTAGCCCCACCCAGTCTTGATGGAAATCCTAGCTGGCATCTTCCAACACACACATAAAATCACACTCACAAGCACTTCCAGATGTAGTTGCTGATCTGTCTTCATGAATAACAATGTGATTTCAGTATCTCTTTGATATTTTGAGAACGGGGAGCCTACATCAGTGAGTCAATGAGCATCTTTATATTTACTGTTTTTACTGCTCTTTATTAGTGTTTATGTTTGGCAAAATTGTTACTCAGTTATTGTGTTTGAGGTTTCAGATATACTGAGTGTTAATAGATTTCAGGAGCTAAAAGTTGAAAGATATAGACTCACAAAATTTACTTTAACATGAAAGGATAATAACCTAAGATTTTTTTAATTGTCTTAGTGTATTGACACCAACTCAGATTTTATGTGTGTGTATTTATGTGTATATATATATATATATGTGTGTGTATATATATATATATATATATATATATATATATATATATATATATATATATATATATATTGATATTAATATTGATATATACATATACATAAAGGGTCAGTGTAAGAAAATACACTTATTGCTGTCTTATGTCTTAGTTTTGAACCAATCTGTACAGTTTTCAGGGTGTTTTTTTCAGTTTGCATTACAATAGCTAAATTATCATTATTATAATTACTTTCCTTTTTATCATCATCATTGCAATACTTTATGAGGTCATTAATTTCATCTGTTTCTGTCTAACTATATCTGTAATCTATTTCTCTCTTCTGCTGCATGCTACTTCGTTTTATCACACTGCCAGAGTCTCCCAAAGGACTCGAGTTAAAGTGCATTCACTTGTTAGTTTGATTTGTTAGTGTGCTCATTATGTACTCTTTATTTCCCACTCTTTGTTTACCTCGTTCTCACTTTCCCCTCTTGTTCTTGCTGGCCCTTGTTCTCACTCTTGCCGTTCTTTCTTTTCTTTTTGTTGTTGTTTTTTTCCCCCCACTTGAGGTTGGAAGCAACCAATTTACATTTAGGATTTTATCGTCTATGAAGAAGCAACGGAAGAAGGTAGATAAAAGCTAAGGGGGGTACTGGATGAAAATAGAAAAGAAAAAAAAATCTCATTCAGATCTTTCACATTCTTCTATAGATATTTAGAGGAAAGAAGAGATTAAGATGATGATGTGTGTGTGTGTGTGTGTGTGTGTCTGTCTGTCTGTATGTGTTTGTTTTTTTTATGGTTTTGGTATATATATTTTTTCATTCTCTCTCTCTGACTCTCTCTGATCATCCTTCCATCTCTTCCACATCTCTGGCACTGTTTTCCTCTCATTTATTGAAATTTTTTTGTTTCTTTAGCGTAAGCAGAGGACGGTGGCGTGTGTGTTTGCAAAACAATAATCAAAATAGGAGATAGGTGCCGTAGTTAGTCTTTTACCTTTATTAATGAATATTCTCTTCAGTGTCGACTGTTAATAGATTCAAGAGAAAAAGAAAGAAAAAAAGAAAAAAAAACTCTGTTTTAAGAGGTTTATTATTAAGTAAATGTGTAAGTGTATATAGCAAGTTTTGAAAAATATTTTATAAATACATGCACGTGCGTGTGTGTGTGTAACGTATGCATTTAAAAGGCAAAACCCCGTAGAAGTTGTGAGCCACCGGGATTTTTGGCAGGAGCACCTAGGTAGTTGTGTGGGAGCCACCAGATGTTCCCTAATGCCAGGTATTTTGTGAGAGCCACCAGATGTTCCCTAATGCCAGGTATTTTGTGAGAGCCACTAGCTATTCCATAGAGCTAAATTTTCTTGGGGACAATCTAGGTGTTTTGTAGGAGACACCAGTTGTTCCTCAGAGTCATCTATTAGTATTCTATGGGAACTACCATTTGATTGGTAGAGCCAGGTTATGTGGGAGCCACAAGTTGGTCTGTAGGAGCCAATAGGTTCTCTTGGAGCTAAATGTTCCTTTGAGAGCCACCAGGTGCTGCATAGAACCAAATATTCTATTGGAGCCGCCAGGAGGTTGTTAGAGCCAGGAATTTTGAGGAGCCACCAAGTGTTGCTTGAGACCAGCAGCAGTTGGTTCTGCCTCTGAGCAAAGGTGGCTCTGTGGGGAATGGGATCCTTTGTCTTCCTTTTCTTTTCTTTTAACATGTAAAATAATGACTTGTTGAATTGTCTTTCTTGTTCTTAAAGTTTTGATTTTTGCTCCATGTATGTTTTTTATAACATCTCTTATCTGTGCATATATGGGAAATGGAGAAGTGAGGCAGCATTTGCCATCTAGAATGTCTACATTTTTTACTAATTTGTAAGGAAATATTGTTAAAATGGAATTTGTATATATACATATATACTTACAAGCTCTAACACACACACACACACACACACACACACACACACACACACACACACACACACACACACACACACACACACACACACACACACTTATATACATATACACACACACACACATACATATATATTCATGTTTAAATGTTTACATATACATATGTATTTGCACACCAAACCCTCTTGTATCGCACATAGTTGTCTATGCAGCCCAGTATTTGTCCCCTAACCACTGCCCCAACAAGGAACATGATTAACAGTATTCCATGTAGCAAATGGAGAATATAAAACAGCCAAATAAATGCTGACTGAAAGCATAATAGAGGAATGGAGGAATGGGTGGGTCGACAGGTTCTTTGGTTTGCTCCTAGCTTTTTCTCATTTAGTGGCTTTGTCTCATTATATTAAAAGACCAGATTGTAGGAGCATCATCTGTCGGCCATTGTTGACACTTTCTCCCACGTTCTGTCAGCCGGTCTAAAACATACTGGTACTTCAGTGGTGAATGCAGGAATTACAACCAACACAGATTAATGACGGCCAATGATATAACCATTAAAAAATTACGTAATACCAAATGGAATTACAAAACAAATGATGCATTTTGTGTGCGATAGCAAACTCAGGTGTAGGTGTGTGTGTGTGTGTGTGTGTGTGTGTGTGTGTGTGTGTGTGTGTGTGTGTGTGTGTGTGTGTGTGTTTTATCAGAGGGATGTTAACTTTCAAGTTATGCATATTAAAAATGATTCATGATAGCAAAATACACACACATACACACATATGTATGTGCGTATGTTCACATACTTATATACATATATACTTCTCACTCACACACATATTTACATATGGGAACTGTTGTTCTCGCTTTTGTTTTAATATTTAGTGCAATATATTGTTTCAAAGAGGACTTTCTTTTTATTTTTAGTTTTGTTATTTTTTTGTGATTATATATATATATATACTATATTATTACTTTGCTTCTCTTCCACATCCCCTTCCCACTTTCTCTTACCTTACCCTCTTCTTCCTGTTCTTCATCTTCTCTTTCTCTTTCTCTCACTTTTTCTGACCCCTCACCCCTGCCCATTTGTGCTTTTGACATTATTTTTAGTTCATTACATCACTGAAGAGTAGGTATTTGACCTCAGGATATTGTCACATTTTATTGTCCATCATCCTTTTCTGATGCTCCCTGTTAACCCTTTAGGTGCAAGAGACCCTGGTGGATTATTGAATTAATCAAGAAAATAAATTGTTCAAATAAACTTGGATAGCCTATTCTGTGCAAGGGGATCTGGAAGCCTTTTGTACTGCACAAAGGAAATTTTTATACTCGTGCACATCTAGTGGGTGCCATCAGCTGTGCGTATGCTGTATATCTGCTTCCTTTGAGCTCCAGCAGGTGGCCAGCTGGTGTTTTCAACCTCACTGAACACTGGCTGATCATTGTACAAGGCTAGATGATTTTCTAAACAATTGGACTGGAGTTTGAACATTGGTAAAACTTTGTTTTGACAATATTTAAATGTCATATTTGAAGGGTTAAGAGCACATTGTGATCATTACCTTTACTTGTCCATTAGTTTCTGCATAATAGTGCTATATTTCTCTCGGGACAGACTTGGGCATTTTTAGGTTTTAATTTGCATTCTTTACGTTTTTTTTTTTCTTCTTTTCTTTTTCTTTTCTTTTTCTTTCTTTCTTTCTTTCTTTCTTTCTTTCTTTCTTTCTTTCTTTCTTTCTTTCTTTCTTTCTTTCTTTCTTTCTTTCTTCTTGTGATTATGTACACCCACCAACAGTGGCTGTAGGGCAGGCATGCTAGGAGAAAGACTGCGACTAAGATCAAAGTCAAGAGAGAAGTGGACGATGACTGGGAAAGACTCATTCCCACAAGGAAAGGGAAAAGCACGTCCAGTTTGCTGTGACAAATATGGAAAAAGACAAGCTATATCTTTCCTCTTTCCTCATTCAAGGAGTGAGTGATTTGACTCTTTGGTCATACATAGAATCAGTACCAAGATAGTTCCTCTTGTGTTTCATGAAATTCTTTGCTCTCACTCAAGCACTTCTCAGCAGTTTGTCTGGACAAGTTCTGACAAATGAGGGAGTGCTTTTGTGATGATAAGGAGGATCACATTGCCCGAGGATTGCATGCACTGCTTTCTTTGAGCCAGTCTTTTCACTGCCAATATCAGCTTTATTTTTTTTATTTAGCAATATGATATACATGCCCATACATCTTCCCATACATCTTCCCATACACACACATAAATTTTGACATGTCTCTGTGCACATGCCATTACATATGTCCAGATACACAAAGCACATACCAGTGACACACACAAACACACTTTCTCTCTCTCTCTCTCTCTCTCTCTCTCTCTCTCTCTCTCTCTCTCTCTCTCTCTCTCTCTCTCTCTCTCTCTCTCTCTCTCTCTCTCTCTCTCTCTCCCTCCCTCCCTCCCTCTCCATATGTTAATATTGAAGATCTTAAAATTATTATTATCACTATTATTGTTATTATTATCTTTATTGTTGTTTTTATTATCATTGTATTTATTGTCATTGTTATTATTGTTATTATTATTATTATGATAATTGTTACTACAATTTTAATTTTTTATATTATCGTTAGTATCATTATCGTTAGTTGTAATTATCATTCTTACCCAGTGATCTTTTGTAGTTAGGAACTATAATTTTTTCTGATATATGTTTTGCTCTTTTTTTTATGCTTTTTCTTTGTCTTTTTGTTCCACCTTCACAGACAAATTTCATTTATAGTTAAAAAAGCTAAAAGGAAATGTTTCCTTGCAATGAAAATTATTCTTTTTTCTTCTTTATATTTAGGCAATCATGTTTACCCAACTGATAGATCACATGGTGATTACTTAATGAAATACTCAGTTTACTTACAACTGCTCTCACTTGATTCCGTCCGAAGGAGCGCACATTATTAGAGAGAAGCAAAAATAGGCCTTTTGATGAACTGTAGTTACTCTGGTAAATTCTATTGTTAGATGTATGTTAATGTTAGAATACAGTGACTTTAGGTAGGCATTAAGTTTTATATTTTGTAAAGAAATACACATGGCTGTTAATACATGCCAGATTCAGAGCAAATATAAGCTTTGTGCTCGTTACTGAAGTCAAAATAGCAATTTTTGTTTTTGATAATTCATTCTATTTTAATCTGAGAAAAATTGGACAGCAGGAACAGGTTTGGTTCCTGATAAGGTAATTTGCTTAGGACAAAAGGTTCGCAACAAATGAAAAGAGATGGTGTGCATTGGGGTAATTGGAGGTTTTGCAGAGAAAGAGGATTGCAATTGTATTGATAAGAGGTCATAGGGATGCACTGACATAAGTGCAACATTGGTAGAGTATCTGCTTCCCTTTTTTCTCCCTCTTTCCCCTGCCTTTCCTCTTCCTCCCTTCTTTCTTTCTTCCATCTTTTCCTCTTCTCTGCCTTCTCTTCTGTTCTCTTTTGCTCTCTCTCTCCTCGCCTTTCCTCCTCCTTTCCCACTTGGACACACACTTGTCCCTGAGTCTTCCTGCATTCGTTAGAGGGATTGGTGGTGTTAGCAAAGGTGTGGGTATTCAACCTGCAGAGGTTGTTAGAATGTTAGAATTGTCTTTATAAGAGGGCCACTAATAACTTGGCCCAAAATAGAGGAGGCCTGTTTTAAAGATTGTCTTGGGTCTGTTCCTTTGTGACGTGGCCTCGTGCTTTCTGGCTCGGACTTTGCCCTTTGAACATGCTTAGCCATGGGAGGTCATAGGTTGTTGACCCACCAGGTGCACTGAGGGCAAGCCATGGTCATGCACGACACCCCACAACCGAAATGTCATTTTGTAATGTACCTCGGCTGTGTTGACTACGTAGTATGTTAAGGAATGTAGGGTGTGAGGTTAGTGATATTTTAAGAGAGGCTTTGTTTGTTAACAAAAAGTAACGGTATGTTGTGATACTACAGGCAGAGTCACAGAACTCCCGCCTGTGCTGTGATAATGGCAAGGACATTGTTGCCAGATTTATGGTGTTTCTTTTCCCTTCTTCTCTTTATATCCTGCTATGGATTGACAGGTGACATCTCAGAATAGCTTATATTTTGATGTAACTTATTAACTTTAGTTGATATGTGTAAGAAATGAAGGAATATGGTGTGCTTGTTTATAAATCATTATTCATGTTTATGCTAAACCTGCTGTGAAGTGAGTCTGTGTAATTGAAGACTAGTGATCAATATTGGGATTGCTACCCTTGCTCTCGCATCCAAAACATGACTTGCAGTGTTGCAAAGTCAAACAAAAGCAGGTGCAAGGGAGCCATGTGATTTTTTTAGGTGCACAGTTTGGTTTGTACTTAATTCTGTGTGTGCACGTGAGTGTATGCAGTTAGTCCTGGATATTTATATTCCTTGATGAGGAATGCTGAATGATACAAGGTACAGAGACATATTGGGGTGCGGAGAGGCTCAGGTGAAGAAGGTAGACTAACAGAAACTTTCTAGAATTTTTTTTTTTTTTTTCCCCTCTTTTTTTCCTTTCATTCTTTTTATAGATTTGTCTACCTTTTTATGTGAAAGTTCAGTTATTTATATATGTGTGTGTGTATGTATATGTATATGTATATATATACAGATATAGATATATATTATATATACATATAAATATATATATATATATATATATATATATATATATATATATATATATTTATTTATTTATTTATATTACACATAAATATATATATTTATATTACATATATACATATGTATATTTACATATATATATGTATATGTATTGTATAGACATGTGTATATGTATATATATATATATATATATATATATATATATATATATATATATATATATATATACACACACACACACACACACACACACACACACACACACACACACACACACACACACACACACACACACACACACACACACACATATATATACACATATATATACACATATATACACATATATATACACATATATATACACATATATATATA